AAATCAAATTCTTCATTTAATGCATATTACAATTAAACTTAAATTTAACAATTATTCTTAGGGTCTTCCTAATTTCATTTTCTTCTCCAACAACACATATCAAAGCTGGGTATAAACCTTCTACCATAAATTGAAATCATCAACCGTCACGATTTTCTTGTACTTCTGTCATGGTTTCTTCCCGTTTTCACTCTCATTCACTCCTTTTATTTTCTCCAACAATACCTATCAGTTGATTATAAACCTTCGTTATATTGTGGTATCAAATGAGGATCAAATAAATTAGTTTAGAACAGGTAAAGGAATTTTTTCACTTAAAAGGATGAACAAGCTAGCGAATAAAACTGATGTTTTCGCACATAAAATCCGAGACCATGGTAATGAACCTTCTAAACATATGAGAAAAATTGAAAAAGAATTAAAGATATTAGTATCTAATATTCACATTTCAGAACTGCAGTGAAATTGGAGCCAAAGATCACTGAAAAGTTAAGGGAAAATTTAGTTTGGGGGCAAGAATTCATCAAGTAGGAGGGGTGGAGAAAGTTCTCAAACAATTGTTTAGTGTTAGAGATCAACAACATCGGGTTCTACAGTTGGCTTGCTTTTCATTTCCTCTCCAAAGGTGGCTTTTCATTTCTCAAATTAGTGTTATCTTGTCTGAAAATTTTACCAAAACACTTTCTTTAATTGATTATTTATATAATTAATAATATATTTTAAATTTTTATTAGATCAAAATGTTTTAACATTTTTATATACCTTTTAAATTTTTGTTTTTAAAAGTTTTAACCATATGTATTTTTAATCTTGTAAAAATTCATATAAAAATATAAAATTATATAATATTTTAATGCATGTTATAAAAAATGCAATTTCTGAGACGGACCGAGTTAGAGTTGAGGAAAATTTCTTTTATCGAGTTCAAATATCAAAATTTTAAATAATTATATATATAACTCTAATAATACAAGGAACAATGTGCTAAGTGTACTGTACATGCAAGAAAAAAACTGAGCTAATTATGATACCATGGCTGCTATGCTAGAAACTCATTCTCCCACTCGAACCTCTCCAACAAGATATTGAAGAATCCATCTCCTACTCTTTACGAAAAAAACGAGAAGCAACCACCGCCGCACGACCATCGACACCGTCATCGGAGGGCATTAACGAAGGCCATCAACGAATCAACGTCTCTCTTCTTGGATAAAAGTATAGTTGGGAAGAAAAGTACAGTTGGGAAGCTTCCCAACTGCAACTCTCTCTTTGCATACTCCTTGTCTTCACCATCGGTCTAAATTTAGCTACCTTCATCCCTGAACCTACCAGCTTCTCGGTTAATTCGACATAAGATTCTTCCATTGCCTTTTTCAAGTTTCAGAGACTCATTCATCGGATCAAATACGAAAAGGTCAACATTTTTCAATTGAATTATGCATAGTTTGAACCATGGTTTACCTGGCAGAAACGGCACCATGGGGCGTAGAGGACGACAAGCCACGGCTCTTTCCGGTTCTCCAATCTTGCCAAATTCTCAATTCCAGCCCTGCTCAATGTGACCAAGCTCTGGCTATTGAAAATGTCACTTCGAGTGGCAGTACCATTGGCATTGGTCACCCCATTGTCGATGCCATTAACTTCGGCTGTACCATCTTGCTTCAAATTTCCTTTATGTAAACCGCACTCCTGGGGCTTTGTATCCTCCCACCACCACCTTCCTTCCCTCTCGTGTTGTCCCGGAAGAACCCCCCCTCGTGCAAGGCTCGCAGCCTATAGACACATATCCTTGAGAATGCAAACCATTGACCGGCACATTCATTGCCCGGAGGAAATTCCAAATGTCTATCCCGTCGACATTCGCAACCGGGTTCCACTTCACCAAACTACCAATCCCACCATCCAATCCTTCAAAAACAAGATCCACTTGAACAACAGGTACCTCCGACTTGTCCCCAGAGACTGGTCTTTCCGCTGACCAGTAATCCAAGCAAGCAGCCCTTTGAGTGCTCTCCTCAAGGGCCTCACTTTCCTAACGCGGCAACATTCTTGATGTCCATCCTGGTAAAACAAAAACAATCCTTTGCTCCTCACCAATGCCTGAACTTCAGCAGCATCCGGAAACATGTACTCGATTCGAGTTCCGTAATGTTTCTCGACCTCGCTGAAGAATCGGTCTAATTATGATGAGATGCTACGGCAAATACATTATTTTTAAAATAGGTCTAATTATGGTTTTAATCCCTTTACTATGTTAAAATTAAGAATCCAATCCCGCTACTTTGATTTAGTATAATTAGGCACTCTACTTTTATAATGTTATTAGGTTTAAAATGATAACATTGTTAACGGCTACCGTTAAAATAACATAAATTGTCATCGCATCAAGGGTAGTAATTGACATTATTATCAATTTAACCACAAACTCAACATAGCATAGGGACTAAAACCAGAATTTAACCATTAATAATACTTACAAGATTAATCAAATTTTGAGCTAAATGTTACCTGAAGGCGATGGCAATGTCGTCCCCGAATATCTGTAAAGCCTTGTCCATAATTTCAAGCGGAGAGGCATTGTCAAGTTCTTTAGCCAATTGCTCGAAATCCTCAGCCTCTTCTTTTTCCAATACTGCTGTTCAATCCACCAAATAAGCAATCCCGAATTCAAGCTTATTTAATCATAATTAACTCGAAATTATAATTAATTTTTCTGCTGAAATTTTACCTAGAGAAGCAGCCATGGTTTCTGCCAGAGGAACAATGGAATCATTACGTTTTGGCTCTGCATTCACGGCCTTCACCGCGTAACGTCTTCGACTCAGATTCACCGTTGCATGACGATCTGCTAACCGGACTGAACCGATTTGAGGAACAGCAAAGCCCAAATTTAAAAAAAAAATCAATAAACTTAATCAACCTCTCAAAACAACATAATTTTTAAAAATGAAAGTACCTTTGAGATCGGAGGAGGAACTTGAACGAGGAAAGCTAGAACCAGAGATTGCAGCTGAAGAAGAAACAGCAAACGCCATTTTGAAACAATAATAATAATAATAATAATAATCTGTGGCTGAGTTATTTTTCTTTTTTATGTGTTTAGTGTTCGTAGGAGAGAATAATGATGACTCGAAGGCTTTTAAACAATGAGGGGATGAAAAGGGTTCAGTGAACCTGGACGTGATTGCGGATACTGATGGTTGGCTTACGTGGCTGATTTTGGAGGCAAAATGTCATTCCTCACTGCTTCCATCATACAACCGAGATGCTCCATAATTGGTGTTTTTAGTTCTCTTAGATTTTGAGGTTTGAATTATGACCTCACATATATGACCATCATTGAATTCAATTATGGTACTCCATGGCTATAAATAAATAAAATATCCTATTTTTTAAAACCTTTTCCTTTTTTCCTTGTTAAGTTGTTTCTTTATATAATAATATAACAGTAAATACAGTTTTTTTAACTGAAGTTTAAAAATTATAATTTACTCACTAAATTTTTTATTTGTTCTTATTTTGATTATTTTATTGTTAAATACTTAATGACGTTATAATTAATTTTTTTTCTTTTAAAAATTATGAAATGGCCTCAAAACTTTTTTCATTTTTTTAAAAACAATAAATTCTAATTTCGAATTTCTTTCAATTTATTAATAATGAAGCATCTTCTTTTAAATCTCAAAGGCAAAGGAGAAAGCAAGTTGCATATCTTGAGTCAATACTAATTGGATAGTCGATACTATAGATTAGAGTGATTTAAGGTTTTATGATTTTGGATTTAGGTTTGAATTATAAAGTGATTTAAGTAAAATTAAAATTGATAGAGTGATAGGAGACACTGAGATGAACTTGAGTGATTAGAAAATACGTAAGAAAATACAGTTTTGAGAGCCCAGGTCGTCAAAGCCGGAAACTGTAATTGATTTTGTGAAGGATCCCGACGTTTATATTTTTAAGCTCATCCAATGAGCTTCTACTCCTCAGCCACTCTGTTAAGTAATGCTTTGTGCCGGGAATTCAGATCGCTCCGTTAAATTCTATGAAAAGGTAGTTCACTTCAAAAGAACTTGTAAAGAAGGTTGATAGACCTGAATACAAGGTAAATTCTGTCCTACTTGGATTGTTCTGTTTAGAGTATTAGCCGGAGATATGAAGGTTATCCTTCAGCTGTGGAAGAAGAAGCTTACTGAACTCTCTCGCTTTTGTTGCGTGCACTTCACGGTACCCCATTGCCATGATGGGGTACGCAGAACAACACGAGACTACGGTTCTCGAGTTGACTTACAAGTATGGAGTGACTGAATATACCAAAGTTTCCTTTGTGCCGATTCCACCGTCCTTTTCAGGTGACTACTTTCCCCATTCCAGGTTGCTATTAGTACCGATGATGTAACAGAAGTGGTGTTATTCAAGAGCTTGGTAAGGCACTCAAAAACCAGGGTCAATCCGCGGAATCAACACTAGAATTACCTCTTTCCTAGATCCTGATGGCTGGAAAACTGTAAGCTTTAGTTCTACTAGCAACTTCACCATCTCTACCATGTTCTTAAGTATTCACAAGGAACTATAATTGGGTGTTTAACACGGATGGAAAACAGTTTGAAAGCGAGAAAAATGGCCCAGAACCTGCATCAACTTGAATATAAACCAAGAACATAATATGAAATTCGTTTTTTTTTTTTGCGTTAGCAGAATCCTTTTACGATGACGAGTTTATAAATATGGTTATGCTTTGTGTCTGCAGGTCCTGGTTAACAATGAAGACTTCCTGAAGGAACTCAAGTAGGCATTAAGCAGGGTAGTGCTACTATATGAATAAACTACTATCTCCATCTCTCGCCGGAGACGAAGCCTGTAAAACAATCGGTTCGGAAAACAGTAACAAATAAAGGGGCAAAACAATGATACTTGTAAGGAAACCTAGCAAACCAACTTGTTTTCCATAGGTTAAAAGCCCTCAAGAGGGGGATATACTGTATCACTGAATTTTGATTGTATCTCATGTTTTAAAATTTCACAAAGAAAAACCTATGGCGATAAAAGGGCTAAAAAGAAATGAGGGAAAGAAAATAGTTCATGTCCAATAAACTGTAAGTTGAGGTTTCAACAATTTCTGGGTAACTCTCCATTCATCTTCAGCTGGATCAAGACAGACTAATATGTACATATATAGCCTGTGGCTCGAACCACCACCATCTTGCTGGTTTGACAGAAAAATGATTAAATGACGATAAAAATCTACTCTCCATTTGGGAGAGACATCCATCTACACAACTATATCCATCGGATAGGAACCAAGGACTCGGAGAAATCCGGCATATTCCTGCCAAAGAGAGCATCACACGCCCCAATGAGATTTCGGAATTCGAAAAAGCAATACACAGTGGAATCATGCAGTTATTACATGCTAGTAATGTTGGAAACATGCACACTCGAACAGCTTGATCAAGATGACATCGAGTTCTTACATAAAATAAGAACACGGATTGATCCAAACGAGAAAATTTAGTTAGCTAACAGATAAGAATGTGACCATTACAAGTTAGATACATGATAAATCGTAAATGACTGACCAGTAAATGTTCCAATGCATTTTGGGCACGCAGTTCTGCCATAGAAGCTTCAAAGTCTATGTAGAAAAGATAGTCAAAATACCTGGCACCACGCATCAACCAGATTAATATAGCTCTGGAATTACTAAGATTCGGTTTACAGTAGCAGATCGCAATGAATAGGACACTTACATGGCACTCCCTCTGTTAGAACCGTCGACTACCCTTAGAGGACGCCCTTTTTGTGGTCGACTCTCTATCTGAAAAGTGCTCCAAGAGGCGTGATAACATTCAGAATCTTCTCGGATAATGATAAGACAAAGATGAACACTCTGTTATAGTTTACCTTTGACAAATTAATATCCCTTAGAGAAAACACAGCCAATGCTTTGAATAGCATGCCAGGACCTTCTTCTAAAGTGAAAACTATACTGGTCTGGAAAATTGGAAGATAATCAACAAAAGAGATACATTAATAGGTGAAATAAAATAAAAATGATCGAGTTCAAGGATGAATACCTTATAAACCCTGTCAGTTCTGGGAATTATGGGCTCTCTTGCAAGTACCAAATACCTGGTAACATTATCGTCCTCGTCCTGATGCATGAAATAACTGTGTGATTCAGAAGAAAATATAAACTAATATTCTAAGGAACAAATCAGAATAGCTAAGTGTGCTTCAAAACACAAGTTGGATACCCGTCAATCCAATTTCAGTTATAATTATATTATATATATAACATCTTAACCTCATAGGCCATGTAAATGCATAATGTTAGTCCATTCTAAGCCAACGATTCGGAAATCAGCAATTGTTATGAAGCCAGTATTCATCTTCTTCGAGGAAACTATGCGGCATTGAAGAGGGATAAGAAAATATTTACTTGGATTTTTTCTTTAAGAATGTCAAGCCCATATAATGCAGCTGCTCTAGCACTTGCTATTGCGCCCATATCCTTTTTGCCTCTCAAAGCAACCATCTGATCCAGTATCATAATACGTAGAGCATCACGAACAATAAAAGAACAAGTAATGAATAAAATATGGCACGAGGAAACTGAAGCACAAGATGATCTCGAGACGTACCAAAGCAGCACCAGCAGAATCATCAGCACTAACTCTAATAATGCCTAAGTTGGTAAGGGCCATCTCACATTGAGCAAGTGCCTGAAATTGAGGAAATTGTTAGCAAAACTAACACTTAAAGAATCTAAATGCCCAACCCCAGCATGAAGTTTGCATATTTGATAAAGCAAATTTCAAAGAGATCTAATATATTTTACTAGCATGTACCGGATGATTAGGTGACTTCCAGAACAAACAAGAAAATAAAATGATATCAAGATATGAACATGATCAACCTGGGGATGGCTGAAAACACACTTGACTTCCTGCATTGTAACACCAGGCAACGCCAAGAGGCAATGATTAACAACCAACTGTACCTCCCTTACGATGTGTAGCCTATGCCGGAGGAGTAAGTCATAATTGCGGTGTATGCTACCACCAACAGAATTCTCAATGGGGAGAACTGCTTTATCCACCAACCAAAGCTCAACTGCCTGTTAAAAGAATGCGACAAATATAACGGACACATATCAGCGTAGTTCATGCAGTAAAATACCAATAAAGTACTTATCTTACTAACATTGAATGCAGCTTCAAATTGGTCGCATGGCACAGTCTCACAATCAGGGTATGCTTTAAGAGCAGCATCCTCACCATATGCACCTGGGTTTCCCTAAAAAAATTAATGGACAGTATAAGCATAGCAAGAAACATATCGGGCACTCAGTCAAAGAATGAAGAGATTTCAGACCTGATAAGCAATCCGCACATTTGAACCATTAGCAGGATATGGAGATAGATTGGTTATGGACAGCGGTTCTACAGAACAGTTATATATTCAATCTCAGAAATTAAATTGACAAAAACCATGTAATGGTCCGAGTTATTAAAAGATAAACACAATACCTTATAAAAAACAATACAAGAAAATTGGAAATATATTTATCGTGCTAACTAACAATCAATGTATTTTCTCTTGTGCTTAATAGCACGCTAATATATAGCTTTCTGGACATCTAAGCCAAACATTTACAACTCAAGAGAATCACCAGATCATACCAGTAGAAAATCCAACCAAATTACAAGATATATTATCATCCAAGATTAACCTAATACTAGAAAAAGGCAAGATATTCATTGTCCATAGCTTTGAATTAGTCCCTTCCTAATCATTTAACGGTTACAATCCTTATCAATGCACGTGTAGAACAAGTACGTTTCGTAGTCGATCAAATCCAAAACACCTTAAGTTCGTCCACGTGTGAGTTGCATCCTATTATTCATGATACTCAAAAGTTCCAAAAAGGAACATTCCTCCTAGTCATACCTACACGTGTTATCCGAGTTTCTCATAAAAGTAAGAGATGCCTGATTCAGCTTGAAAAGAACATAATTAAAGATCAGCATCGATCGCCAACGACATATTATGTGATAACTGCGGCGCAACGAATTTCTGCTAAACCAATAGGTGCATCGGATCTAATAGTCCATAACGGTGGTTCCATGCAGGAGAAAATCACAAACTTTCCATGGTTTATCCTTGAAGAACATTCAAACAATAGACATTGAATATGAATGGCGTTCTAGTAACACATCATTCGTCCTAATGAATGTTCCAATTATCAATCTTTCAAACTCATTCAAAGCAGTTGTCTTTAAGGAACAAACTCATTCAAAGAAGAACCTTATATATAGCTACAAACATCACATCAGCAAACAGGAGTAATCTACATTGTCCTAAACATATTTCAGGATTCTTTACAACCTCAATCAAAATAGATTTCCATATCACTTCAAAACATAGCAACCATCACACTCAAAATTCATAGAACAACTCAACAAAATCATAGTAAGCAAATATTAAAAAAAAAAGATTAAAACCTAATATCAGTTCAAAGCACTAAAATCAAGTTAGCTTACTAGGAAGAAGATTCAAGTCCTTGTGAAATGCCCTGGAAACTGTGCTCCCATCTCCATCAATCTTCCCAGTGAGAGATGTCTTGGCCCCAGGCTTCTCATCTTCAACAAGAACAAAAGCCCTTTGCGTTGAAGCATAATCCAAAGCAAAGCATTTCAGTTTGGAAGACCTCAAATCCAACACAATCCTACCTCGGTAAGACCCCAAATCTGGTATCTCAACAAGAGGCTTTTGAGGGCAAAACGGAACTGGAACACACTTCAAAGCCATTGGAAAAAAATGAAAGGGAGTTCGAAACCAAATCACACACAATGTGAATTGTTCCCTACTATTTTCTATCTAAAGAACAAAAAGGATCGAGTTTGGTGATGGGAGTATGGAAAATACAGTAAGACACGTCAAATGAAAAATGCAGGTTGAAGAATCAATGGGACCCCATTACACAAAAATACTAAAAAAAACCAAACTTTTCCTGGTTTGCAACTGGGTTTTAAAGGTGGGATTGAAGTGGGAAAAAAATCAAAGAAACGTACGAGTCAGTAATTCAAAGAACTTGGGTAGACTGGAAAAATAAGAAGAGGTTGTTGGGAATAAGAAAGTTTGGGTACACGTTTCCCTCGAATTAGAGTGTTTGACGTCAAACAAAGAAAGAGAAAAAAGGGGAAGGGTAATTATGCCAAGAAATCCAATGAGAATCCAGTAAACTCCAAGAATGAGAAAATCTGGCACCAGTGAACAGTTATATTTCCACCAAACACACAATATAATATATGATTCACTACGATTGGTGGACCAGTGGCCTGTTTTGGAAACCTGGAAATGGACCCATAACCTTCCAAATTTTACACTAACGCTTTAGCAGGTTTAATTCCATGGCTTTCAAGGAAGATTGAGGAACAAAAAATACCAGGTAGTATTTTGGTTTAAATATGTCAAAGATCCCTGTATTGTTTTGAAATTTGAAATTTGAAATTTAATCTTTATATTATATTTTCAATAAATTGAGTCCGTAAAATATTTTTAGGGTAAAATATATATTTAGTGTCTAAACTATTACTTTTGTTCCGTTTTGATACATAATTTTTTTTTCAAAGTCATACATAAAATTTAGTTTAGATTTCATTTTGATATCATATTGTTAAAAACTTAAAGGCAATGTTGACCTGTCACCATAAGATAATCTTATGTCATCATTAAAAAAAATTAAAAATGACACATCATCAGTCCTGTTAATTTTTTAATAGAGAGTACCATTTTGAAACCTAAACATTAGGTATAGTTTTGAAATAAAATAAAATTTGAGTACTAAAACATAACAAAAGTAATAGTTTAGATATTAAGTATGCAGTTTACCTTATTTTTATTTAAAAATCTTAATCTTTGTTACTTTATATTTTTTTAATAATACTTTATATTTAATTCTACTATTAATTATTACCAGAAAATTATAAAAAAAATAAATAATTTTTTAGTTTTCTATGTATAGAATTATTATCAATTTGACTCTTGAAAAAGTTATAAACGTATATCATTAAAAATTTATTTTATTTTTTCTAATTATTATATCAACAGTTAACAGTAAAATTGAATATAAATTAAGGGGAAATAAAGTTCCTTAAATAAAAATAGTATAGGGACTTAATTTTATAAAAAAAATATAATATAAAGATTAATTTTTTAATCTTTGAACTACACATTTTTTCATACGAGGAGTAAAATATTATATTTTAGATAAAAAGTTTAAAATAGAGCGAGGATATTTAATCGGTGATCAAATTATTTATTTTATTTTCTTTATATTTTTTTTAAGTCACGAGCTTTAAATTTGTTATGAATGCTTTCTTTTTTCTTTTTTCTTTTACTTAAAGTCTCCTTTCATCTCCCTTCTAAGATTAGGATTTGATTTAGAATTTTTAAAAAAAAATTAATTTTAAATTTTAAGATTGTTTTTCAAGTTAAAATCAATTTACTTGAAGCAAATTTTCAGATGAAATTTATATATTTTAATGAAATAATTGACGATCAATTATATTTTTAATAATTTACATATACGCATTATCCTTTTATATTATATTAAAATTTAATTGACGCATTATCTTTTTATATTTTATTAAATTTTTTACTTTAATTATTTTACTATTTTTGTTGAATTTGTCCTCTTATTTTCATTACATTCATTTTATTAAAAATTTGATAATGCGACCCAATAGAAAGTTATCATTTGTCATAAAATTAAAATTCTAAAAGGTAGTATATTTAAAAAAAGAACTCGTAAAAACCTATTTTTTTAATAAAAATATCTATTAAAATATAAAAAATTCTCTAAATAAATTTTATAGAAGTTTCTATTTTTTTCTTTCAAAATTATAATTATATTACATTTATTTTTTAAGTTAAAAATCATAAAATTATTACGATTGTTATTATAACATTTAAGATAGTATAAACTCGATTACTCGAATACACTTTTTTTTAAAAGGATTTTGTACGGTATTAATATGAACACATACAAAATGGGACATATACATGGGACATTATCAATTTATACATCTCGTACGATATTAGTATACTTAAGTACACATTATCCTCCGATTTAAGGAATTTACAGTGTAGACATTGTATATTTGAATAATTAGATATTTTTTATATATTAAAAAGAGAATTATATTTGATTCATTATCAATTTATACATCTCATACGATATTAGTAAGTCATCAAATATTTTTTGTTTTATCTATTATTGAGGCAGTGAATTGTGATTGAGTGTCCATGTATAAAATTTATACACTAATAATATATTGAATATAATTAAAATTTTGAAGAAAAATACAATATCATACATGTAAGATTGTGAGGATTATTGTATAATCGGGGATGAACGTAGAATTTTATGTTAAGAAGATGAATTTATAATATATTATAAGAGACGAATCTATAAAATTTTAAATGATGAACACATATTATCAATACAAATATATAAACATATCTAAAATATATAAGAATTTGAAATTTTCAGGGAGAATGATCGCTCTAGTCGCTCCACTCGATCCATTACTATGTATGATTAGGGGTGTTCAAAGTTTTCTTTTTATTAATTGATCGGTTAATTTTAGGTTCGATTAGTTGACGAATAATATTTTTTTTCAAACTTCAGTTATCGATTTATTCGATTTTCGAAACTGGTTAATTAACTGAACTAACCGATCGAAATAACTGAAAGTATAGAATATTTAATATATGATAGTTCAATTTTCATTAAATTTTGACTGATTAACTGTTAAAAAGAAAAAAAAAATCTATTAATAAATTTTGGATAGTTGAATTTGACAACAGCAATCTGTTTGTTGGTGGTGTCGGCATCAATCCAGTTACAGAAAGTTTGTCAATCAACATCAAGTCTTTATGTTTGGTGTTTATAATTCAGAATCTCATCATATTTTAGACGTTTAACTTAAACGATGATGACAGGAAAACCATGGCAAATGTTGGAGATTGGAACCACCTACTTCCCTTGAAAATGAATGAAATATATATTAAATGAAAGAATCGCACATTAACTCAGCAGCAATATTAATTCCCTCAACGAGACATTCTTCATTTTCGTTTAATACTAAATAAAGAGGTATCACAATTCAAAGATAAATGCCGGAATTCAAACTCACACACGTGGGACAATAAAAGCCAAAATCACTTGATCAATTAATGGATCTCAACGAGACACATTCTTCGTTTAAACAAGCAGTGTTTTCTTAGTGTTGCTTTCCTTTGATTTATTAGCTTCGTTTGTAGCTTTAACTCTGCCTGATTTTCGTGGACTACTATCGTCTCCTTCGGATGCTACCCCATTAGAACCAGGAAGAAGCTTGTAAAGGTGGCCATGAAAATATGGGTTTGCTTGAATTTGAATAAGAAGATGATATGAGCCTATTTTTATTTAAATAATATGGTGTAGTTTGTGATGGGTTGTTTTGGGCCATTTTGTAATGGGTTATATACACTATATGTTTAGGGTTTCATGGAAAGGGATTAGGGAACGAACGTTGAATGAAATGTTGAAAATTGGCACACCAAATTGCATCAATTGTTAACATTATGGGTGGCAATTTGGAGGCATTAATGGGGTGACAAAATTGGTCAAATTTGGCCACCAAATTGTTGAAAATTTTGGATGGTAAAACTATGCAATTAGTCATTGTAATTTAGGGTATTTACAAATTAGTCCTTAAAGCTTCAACTATAAATACCCTAGCTCATTTAGCTTCAAAACCATCCCAAAGCATTTTAGCTTTCTTCCAATACTAGAGAGAATTTAGAGAGTTTCTTGAGAGTTGTTTTCTCATTTTTATCAAAAAAGAATTATCATTGTTTTCTCCTTGGTAGATCGAGAGAGGTTGTAATTCCTATTTTTCTCGTAGTGAAATTCTTCTACCGTTGCCCGTGGTTTTTACCCTATATTATTTAGGAGTTTTCCACGTAAAATTTGTCTCTTTTATCTTCATTTTTATTTTCTCAAATTATCAGTTGCGATTTTGCTCTATCCGATAGCCGTCTTCCGCAACATGAAATATGTTGTCATCCTCAAGCACGATGGAGAAAAATGTCTCTAAATTTATTTTTTTCAAGTACGAAAAATAGGAGTAAAATGTTTCTAAATCCAACTCATCGGATATGAAGAAGTAGAATGCTTTTAGAATTCGATATCCTCGAATACGAAAGAACAAAGTGTCTCCTACGATTTGGCTTTATTAGGGTATTCTACTATAAACATAGAGATAAGAAACTAGTAACTTGAGATCATATAAGTTAAAAATTCATCCCAAAACAACTTAAACAAAAGATAGATACGAACAAATCGATTGCATCGGCAAATGAATCACAATAATGGATCAAACTATTGAAAGACTACTGACAAACATAAATCAGAGCCATGCATCGTGAGAAAATTATATACGAACACAAATCACATATTCAAATCCAATCTAAAAGTTCAAAGAATGAAAGATCAACAATATAACAAATAAGCGTCATTTTGATCAGTCGCAACGACGTCAAATCTAAATATGAAGAAAATGATCGATAAAAATGACCGAAAATATGCTAAAAGACAGAGAAAAATATATCATAAAACCAAAATTATTAGAAAGAAAGAAAAAATAAAATTACAATATAAAAAATAACATAAAAAATATCAACGATAAACTATCAGCACTAAAACCAGTAACGTAGCCTGCCAACTACAGATTAAAAAAAAGTAAGCCGCGCTAGATTTCATCATAGTAAAATGGTGGAATTATAATTTTAAAATCGTTAAATGTTGATTTTAAAGACAATACGACTACACTTGTAAGTTCGTG